CTGAGATGATCATTATGAGATGAAGTCAACATAGAAAGGCAAGGGTGGCTGGGTTGATGCACTATTTGATATGCCAAGATTACATCCCCCGGAAGTCGGCGGTATTGAGATGAGTAGAGTCCCAACATTTGCAGTCTTTCGGAGGATATCTTGCTATACAGACCTTTTACAAATTTCGTTGCCAGCTTTTGTGGACGTTCTGAAGCCTTCCTGTCGCGGTTTAACCATGGATCCCACACTTGAGCGGCGTACTCCGTGTGTGTCCGAACGAACGCTGATAGCAAGCGTGGAAACAGTGCTCTTTCGAACTGCTAGAAAACACATCTGAGAAGCCCAACTTGCTTTATAGAGTCATGGATGATGCTCTGGCACAGTGCGTGGAATATCCTACGTTTTCCTGTACCATAACTCCCAAACCCTTTTCGCCAATGGCATGCGGTAGTATTTGGTTTTCCAGAACATAGGAGAAACGAGTATTGTGCCGCATGGAAGTAACTCTGCATTTGGAAACGTTAAACTCGATGTCATTGGCGAGTGACCATCAATGGTCTGCATTGATCGTTTGTTGGACTGCTATATAATCCTCTGGCTGTCCGCAAACAGCAGTGTACTAGACCCAAGGACACATGGCAGGTAGTTTATAAATGCAAGAAAGAGATGGGGCCGCAGTACGGATCCTTGAGGAACCCCTCGGGTAGCGGTGATAGGCTCTTATAATGAATCACCAACACGAACTGACATGGTTCCTTATCGAAGAAACTCCTTGATTCAGTCAGAAACCAAACCTCTTACTCCATAGTTGTAGAGTTTTCGCAGTAGAATTTGGTGGTTTATTCGATCAAATGCCTTGGAGAAGCCCAAATAAACTATGTACAATGGCTGGCCCGCATCAACGGATTTCGTCCACTCATCCCGTGCAAGAAGTATATTTGTGGTGCACGAACGCTTTTGCCGAAATCCACGCTGAGTTGGAGACAAAAACTCATGCTTCTCCAGATATCCCATCAATAGATCTACCTCAATAGCTTCCATGACTTTCGACAATATCGAAAGTGTAACAGGGTGGGAGTTGGCTGGATCACTGCGAGATCCCCCTTTGTAAATGGGGGAAATCACCCCTTCTTCCCATGACGGCGGAATACTTCCTGGTTGAACATCCTTTGGTTAAGAACAGCCAGAGGTTCGAAAATATTGTCGACTAGCGACATCAGAGTCCGGGGATGCATGTTGTCTGGGGATGAATTCTTCGCATAATTAGTAGTTTTGCTTTAACCTTTCTCACCGTCAATAGCCATGTTATCCAGTGACGGATACAATATACAGCGTGATTTACTTGGAATCTGTAATGCTTCGTGTGTCGTTGCAGTGAACACTGTTTTTTGAGGAACTCTGCAGCTTCTAGAGTAGTGGTTGAAACATGTCCAGACGATCTCAATGCTGGTATTCCGTATTCCACCTTCCTTGTAAAGTTGATATGTTTATAAAGCCATTTTGGATCAGAAATAAATTTTTGAGCCAGGGTTTCTTAGTACATCACTTTGTCCTCTCGTACAAACTTGGTTCACTGGTTTCGCAGTAAGAAATAATTATTCCTTATTATTATTATTATTTCGATAGATGGACTTCTTCTGTACTCCCCCTAGGAAAAGTTCCTTTGCTCTATCCATTTCTTTGTTCAGCTGCGAATGAATGAATGACGAGTTTTAGATTTAGCACAATTTTTATACTTGCTGCAGCCGTTACAATTTCGGTAAGATAATCAGTGAAGCTCTTTCGTGCCACCGAAGGATCGTGATCATCTTCTTGGAGGACCCATTGCTTAAGTATTGCCAGGTTTTGCAGCCTTTCGTAGTCTATAACGGCACGAGTACTGCTATTTCGGTTTTCTTGGGTAGAGGCGTAGACTATATCATCAAACTTCAATACGTCCTAGTGGAGACGTGACATTGACAGATTCCACCATCAACTCCTCGTTAGCCAGCACTAAATCCAGTGTTGATTGTACGTAACCTGCTCCAAGTATGGTGGGTTCTGTTACGTGGTTGTACCATGGGTGCAATCCAATGAACTGAGATAATTGTCTCTCGAATGGCTGGCGGGAAGTCCTCGTTCTGATGAGATTGGGGTAGTTAAAGTCACTTATTATGACGACATGGGTGAAGTTTATTGATAATGCATTCCTCATGGTTTACAACAAAATCTCGTGGGCTGAGTCTGAAGATGCGGGAGGTCGGTACACAACACCCATTAGATTTGGGGAGTCTTACTGAACGCCACAACGAATCGGGGGCTGCGTCAAGAATACCAAGCTGTTCACATGGTAAACTGTTTCGATGATAAAGCAGAACTCCACCGCCTCGTGTAGGACAATCACGTCTGAGCAGCGACATTCCTGATAAACCCGATTCCGAGTAGAAAATGTCGGTGATCAGCCAGGTTTCAGTAACGGCAACCATGTCAAATCGATTAGCTTTTCCAACGAAGTTCCATCTCGGACAATTTGCCAAGGTAACCTCGTGCATTGGTATAAACACATGAAAGATATATTCGGCGAAGAAACCTATCTGGGTATCTAGTGTTGTTTTGCCGACCAATTTGGGGGTTGGCCAACATTGTTTTTTTTGTAGAATTGGCCTCGTCTGAGTTACTATGGCGAATTCATGAGGATCAGAGTTGCAAAAAACATTGAGTGCCTCTGTTTACGACACTCAACCGTATAACTCAGTGTCTCTAACCATCGGTTACGCTGATCCCGATGTCTTTCTCCAGGAAGGCTATCACGGTCCATTTGAACAAGTGTCCCCACAACAATCAGTCCGTATAGCATCATTTTCAACTGAGTCAGTCCTGAAGGTTAATCATATTATGCACCAGGTGAGATGCTTGCAACAAGTTTGTAAATACAAGTTATGCAATACTGTGTACGGACAGTGGTGACCCGGTGATAATGTCACCAAATGATTACCCCGGGGGACGTGTGTCCCACCACCACCATCACAACCACCACTGCCAGAAACCGAACAGAACTAACTCAGAATAGGAAGATGGAATTCACGAAGACAGTTTCATAATGGAGAACGAAATTGACTACACTGCGAGCCTAAAGACAGGCTCAGTTTTAAACCTTAAATCACGAACAGCGTAAATGGCATGAAAATGGACGATGTCGTTGGTGTGTGTGAAAATACAATAGATAAAAACGATACTGAAAGACCGTTCACATAAGGTGAGAATAAAGAAGAGGAAAACAGAGCACTCCGGAGCAGTTCAGAATTGTGAACAAGACGTTTGGAAAATTCGTGCCTCAAAGTGGTTTGCTGAATCCGATTGTAAAAGTAGTTAGAAAGCTTCGCGCTTTTCCAGGAGATATCGGGATGGAGAAACAAAATCTGAGGAATAACCAAGGAAAGGAAAGAATTTTCCAAAACGTTAGTGATGAAATGAATTGAACACAAGCGATCCGGAGTGTGTGGATTTTATATACAAGCTGAAAAGGTTCGAATAGTATGTTTCGATAGAGTTGAAGGTGACCAAGGATAGCCTTTTCAGAAGCTTTGAGTGCATCCTAGGGAAAAGACTAAATAGTTACTGTAATCTCAGATGAGTTGGAATCTTTGGCAATTGGTAACTGAACCAGGAACATCGACGAAACTTTTTTCTCATATCAATTCTACATGTATCATTGGTTGTGAAGACTCAGTCATGCAGAATTCCAGCAAATAGAGAGAATCAAAATCGATTATAGTGCATAATACAGCTAACCACTGCATGTATCGCACCAACCAGTCTAACAAAAGAGCCTGTCACGGTTTCTGGGGTCCATGTGCATTTGGAATCAATAATGCCGTTTTGTTTGATCAACTCAGCTTCAACGGACTGACTGACTTCTATATCCTATGCCGAGCGAACCGGGAGTCAAACAGTCTAAAGCAAATTCAGATTTACTCACCTTTACCATACCATGAGTGGTCTTGGTCAGAGTAGAATCGATTCGGGGAGCGGCTACCAGACGACTTGTTTGAGTGCCATGACGAAAAAACTGGAATCGAACAAACACGTACGGAGTGAACTGTGTGGATAGTTCCGATGTGTTAGCAGTGCCATTCACAGTATCCTCGGCGAGTAGAACTTCTGCGCACGGAAGGTGAACAGCATCC